AAATTCTATTTTCATATGTACCGTTTTTTTTTTTTTTAATCATTTCACCCCAAGCAAAGTGATAAAATCACTAAGACACAAGGAGCTACTGAATGTGTAAGAATCTGAATAAAAAACAGGAGAGAGGGCAATAAAAGAACAGGTGAGGAGACATGATGATTAATATTGCATTTAAATTTTTGAATACCAAAGTTGACTGGAAAACAAGCAAGAAGTGTGAAAGAAGAAACTCTTAACATAGAACTTAAGGTTACATCTAGCAATTTCAACTGTAAAATGATGAAACTTACCCCCACCCAATCTAGTACTGCCCATAAATCTGTAAAGTTGAGGTACCAAAGAAGAAAGTTTATCAAAACAGTTACCATGAAAATATTTATAGCAAAGGCACAGAGAAGTTTAAAAAAAAAGTAAAGAAAACATTTGTGTAATTAGCTATATTGTGTGTGTGAAGCACCATGTGGTAGTGTGACATTAAGAAGTTCTGTTGTTATTGCTACTAAATCCCAAAGCAAAACAAGGAAAAGATAGACCATTTATTTCACTTCCTTTTATAGTCCTGAATAGATTGACACTTAGTGGGCATCCTGGCTGATAAGGTGGTGTAATCCCCATAGTGTAATTGAAAATTCTTCTCTGAGTCAGAAACTCCAGGACCAGGATCACATTACTTTCTACTGCACCTATCTGAAAGGCATGAAGTCCTGTGTCCCAACCAAAGACGAGAAAAAAGCTGAAGAGGAATAAATATCAAAGACTGTGCAGCAACAATCTGATCCTAAGTATAATAGTCATACAAAGAAACAATATTCAATTCGTTGAAGCCAAAATATTCTTGTGGCAATTCCATTTCTGCCATATGCACTGATTTTGGATAGCATTGTCATGTGACAATTCATATAAATTTTGATTTGCAAAAGCTATATGATTCGTAAGAAATACTAAGGCAAATACTTGATTATTCTGAGATTCTTCTTGATTGGTGAATATATTTAAGATTTTAGAAGTAGAATACTTTAACATTTAAGAATTTCTATAGGCATTTCATCTTGAAAGAGAATCTCTTAATTGTATACTTCACTTAAGTCTGAAATGATAGATATGTTTTCTTGAATATGATGGACAAGAAATGTTTTGTTAGTTTTTTATGTCCTTGTGGAAATTCAGCCTCTGTGATAATTCTACAACAAATAGATTTAAAAGTACACAGAGAATGGAAATAACATTCAATAACAATTATTTTATAAAACAACAATTTGCAACAATTTTGGTATGTATAAATGTATGAATAAAATTCCTCATGTTCAAAAATGTCTGTACAAGTGTTAGTAAGAAATATCAGATTAATTTATGTGTTCTGTTTTTTTGTATTGAATGTTTATGCAAAAGAAAAGTAGTGTATAATATTTCTGTAGTTGTGTGTATGAGTGAAAAGAATGTTTCTATTGGTTGAGAAAAATCACGTCCTACTTGTTGGATACTTGAAAATGTAACAAAGAAATAACTGTGGTGGACTTCACCACATTAATTTAACTTTAGATTAGGAAACAAGACTGACGTGGAAAAGGATAAGCAAAAGACATTGTTACACATAAAATATGTATTTAACAAGATGTACAAAGCATGCATTTAAGTAAGAAAAGGTTGAATAAAACAAGAGTTGTCTCTCTTTAACTATTATTTTGTATTTCAAAGTTCACTGGAAGAATGTTTATGGGAGTTTTTTATAATGACTGTTCTCAGAAGATTTTGGTGTGTAAGAAAAGATTATGTGAGTGTACAAGGAATGTTCAGTATGTGAGTGGTATGTGTGAGTGAGAAGGTTGGCGTATGGTTTCAATTGTCGTGGATTCGTTTGGCAGCTGAATTCTCACTAATTAGCTAAGAAAAATTCTTGCTTATATAAGTGACTATAGGCTGTGCGGGAAAAGTTACTCTTCACGTGCAGATGATCTGATTGGTTGGCATTGACCAATCAGCGAGTGAGTCTTAAGAAAGCTTCTGGGATCCATTTATCCCAAAAGTGCACAAATTTGACTACATGAAAATAGAGCGATTACAAAATTGTCACATTGCTGCGATTTGTAAATTGTCTATTATAACGTAGTGGTGATTTATTAACCAGTGAATGCTTGTATGTGATTTGTATTTGTGTATGTATGTATGTATGTATGTGTGTGCGATATAGATTGGCACATGACCACCCTGGCTTCCAGTAGTTGAAAAAAGGACCCTGAAACTAATTTTGCTTTCCTTTGTTGAAACAAGTGCTGGATCTTATGGATATGAGCAGTTCTCTGATTGGCTGAAATGTGTTATCTGAATTTCTTAAGTTGAAAGAAACAGAATTTCTGCACCGAACCTACCTGTGTGTGAACATGTAGTGGACCGTGGTGGTGATGAGTATGTATTGTAGATGAACACATGTGGGTAGAATTTTCTGCTAGCTGGTCCAACTACATGAGAAAGTTGGACTTTAATTAAGTCCAAAGAAAACATAGAAAACAAACAAGACTGATAAATATATGTAAACAAATATATGTATTAACAAGTACAAGTTACAAGGACAGTTACATTGAGTTTGTGTGGCGAATATTATGTGTGTGTGTTGTGGTGAGTGTTCGTACGTATGTGTATTGTTCTTAGCGTGTTGTGGTGAGTGTTCATACATACGTGTATTGTTCTTAGCGTATTCCCAGAATTTGGGAAACGCTGTATTTGGGTCACCATTATGTAGTGGACCGTGGTGGTGATGAGTATGTATTGTAGATGAACACATGTGGGTAGAATTTTCTGCTAGCTGGTCCAACTACATGAGAAAGTTGGACTTTAATTAAGTCCAAAGAAAACAAACAAGACCGATAAATATAATTAAACAAATATATGTATTAACAACAAGTACAAGTTACAAGGACAGTTACATTGAGTTTGTGTGGCAAATATTATGTGTGTGTGCTGTGGTGAGTGTTCGTACATATGTGTATTGTTCTTAGCGTGTTCCCAGAATTTGGGAAACGCTGTATCTGTGAGAGCTCACATCTGCGAGGTGGTATGGCTGAAGGCCTGAGGAAAAAAGAGATCGAGGCAAAAGGTCAGACAGTATTTATAGCCTGGGGAGAAAGAGCCTGGTGAAGGGTTAAGGAGCTGAGGAGGAGCTAACTTCGACAATACCTCCCCTTAGATTAAAAGTTGTAGAAAACAAACTTAATATGTAAGAAAAAGGTTCATGAAAGTTTTGAATATTGTCCTTGTGAGCTGAAAAGAAAATGTGTCAGAAGTGTGCTTGACATGTGTGATTCAACGAAATGTGCTTGTGTTGTCGTCAGGGTGCTTGGTGCTGTGTATTTCTCTAGTGAGACAGAGTCGGGGCACGTCCTGGAAAAAACGTTGGTAGTGGTCTGCGTTTGCTATCAAAATTTGTCTTTTTTCCAATGCTCCACGTCGAATTGGCTTTGTCGTCCTGTCAACCTGTTTGCTGGCCTGGTCGTAGTTTTGTTTGAAAAACGAGGTTGTTTGTTTGGTATACATGGATAAAATTGGCGCACAAGATTTAATAGAAGCAGCGTTGTGGCGAATTTGAGCTGATATAGAATTTCTACTGAGTGTCGAATGCATGTTTGAGAAAATTTGCTATTATTGTCGATTGAAAATTGCACTTGCAAATTCTTAGTTGCGTTGTTGCAAAGATAAAGGACAGTGAGTCACCTTTTGCGGTTGAAGATAAAGGACAGTGAGTCGCCTTTAGTTTGAGATGTGGTTCACACATTATCTATTTCAGTCCAGAAGAAGAGAGTTGAATTAGTTGAAAATGGCGTTACGTTTTCCGTTTGGTAAGCCGCATGAAATTAGGTCAAACATCACCAAGAGAAAGAAAGGGTCAAGCAAATATAGACCAGTGGGGAAAGAGTTCTCAGGCTCGTCTCATAGTAGTAATTGTGGTTCTTCTAGTGGCGATTAAGGCTTCCGTGATTTCCACGTGTTGAAAATTCTTTTTGCTGCGCAGGAGAAAATTGTTTTGTAGACCTGTTGTAATGAATTAAAAGTGTGATTTTGTACTTTCATCAGTTTAATCACAAATTTTTGTTGCTGTATAAAAGTTCTTTCGCTAAGTGTACTGTACGAAAAGAAGTTTTTTCAATGTTTTTCCTATCTGGCTCTCTTTTTGGGAAAGTGTGTGTATAAGAAATTGTTTGTACATATATATATATATATCGTCCTGTGTGTTTTAGCAGGAGTTGAAAGATAAATCATGTTGGGGTCACCATTATGTAGTGGACCGTGGTGGTGATGAGTATGTATTGTAGATGAACACATGTGGGTAGAATTTTCTGCTAGCTGGTCCAACTAGAATGATGGACAAATGCTCCAAAAATGTGGAAATGGCCATCCGTGAACAAACGTTTTCTTCCCTTATTAATGCATAAACAATTCTTAAATTAAAATTAAGATATTTTTTAAAAAATGAAGTAATTTTAAAAATAATTAAACATAGAACTATCAAAAGGAAATTTTAAACTCATTTTGTATATTTTTTTACAAAAAACACAAAATTGAAATTTTTGTTTCAAATTGAAAGTGGGCTTTTAAAAACTAATTTTTATTTTTTTCAGTTGTTCACGTAACTGTGTACAGTATACTATACACACTGTACTCCTAAAAACTTTATAGCCTAACCAGTTTTTCTCTCACAATGTTAATTACAATAGGCGAGTCTGAGCGGTGACATTATTGTTTCCAAATTATATATTTATTATTAAAAATTAAGAAGACGAAATCAAACTTGCCGATTTCACTAACCTACTTACTTTTTAAAGTTAGATTGTGAAGACAGCTCGAATTTAGTTGACAACCTCAGCGGCATTTGGTTGTAGCCAATCGCAGCGCAGCTACAATTTGATTGGTCAGTTTTTAAATTACACGAAATATAAATTACAGTTAAGTTGTTGGAACTTTTTCTGTTAAATAACGTTGTTTACAAAGTTCAGATTTAGGAAATAAAAATGCCACCAAAGAAAAACGGTAACCAAAATATTAAAGTTGCAGTAAGATGCCGGTAAGTTAAAGATTGTTTTCAATTATTACTTTTTTTTTTAAAAGCTCTTGGTATTTTTATGCAATAATTCGATCGTTAATTATTAATGTACAAATTCAACGTACAATTCAATGTACAAGTAGTTCAACGAAAAAGATGTAATATTTTATTTACGTTTATGTTTTTAAGGTTAAACACCTTAGAAACATCTAGAATAGATTGAATATATGGGTTGATTTATATATTTTATTTAATTATAATATTTAGCATAAAAGTTTCTTGTTTAGCATCCATCTAGCACTTGTGGGAAAATTAGGGTAACGACTAAAAATTTAAAACTTGCGTGTACTGTAACTGTAAGTTAAGTAAGTGTACCTCTTGAATTCGGCAAGATTCTCTTCACGGATATGAAATTGAGTTTACTCAGATATCTCGATTTTCTTCACCATCATAAAAAAAAAAAATTTGGAGATTTTATTTTTAAATAAATGCATAAAATGTGATTGCGAACGATTTTAAGTTGCATAGATTTTGTTTTCCGTTTCGCAGTGAAGAAAGGACTTAACTTAAATTCTTTTCAAACAAGATAATACGTGGGATTTTGAATTTTGGTTGTTTAGTAAACAGATTGTGGAGGCCCAGAAAACTCTTTAAATTTCTTACTGTGGCTGAACAATACGGAATTTCAACAATAAATGAAATTGCTTGTCATTCATTAACTAACAATGAGCACATCCACAGTTAAAAAATTTTTATGTTTAAGTATTTAAGTTTTATTTCAGATTATTTATATTTTATTAAAATAATTTATTAAAAATCGTCATTAAACATTAAAATAAAATTAGTAATTCAGCTCGCGGTTTCTTTTCTGGACGACAGTGATTGAAATTATATTTTATTTGGCAGGAGACGTGTAGATTTAAAATTTGTACTTTTTGAACCGTTATTTCCTTACTGTTAAAGAAATTATTTGATCGGTACTTCTGCTTAGAATATTTTTGTCTTAAGTTGTGAATACATTGTACACGCGGACGCACCGCGTGTATAGGAGGAGTAAATTAAAAAAATAATGAAGTTGTCCTTTTTATACGTATTTTCCTTGAAATTTCATATTTTTCCCTATTGAGGAACTTGTTCATTTACGTGTTTTTTTCTGTGATATTTTTCTATTTGTTAATAAATTTATCTTGAACTTTTAGAAAATTCAAGCAAGAAGATCGATTTTGTTTGCTTTATAATCGAATAAACAATACAATATGTCTGCTGTGTTTGAGTAAAAAGTAAAGAGAAGCCTATACGGGTGTAAAAATTCTGCTTGCATCTGAAAATGCGTTGTCCGCTGGTGTTTCCACGTTAGTCTCTCTTCCGTATCATCGCATTGCCATTAATTGAAGTAAGCAATGAATGATGTAGAAAAAAATGAGGTGTTGAAACTTGAGAGCGCTTTAATGATGAGCCACTATAAAAATATGAAATCTGTCTCTGCCGGAAAAAAGTGAAAACCTTTTTAGTTACAATATACATGCTTCTTTGGACATTTCATAAAGCGTATGAAATGAAAGGTGAAATAAGGTTAAGTTTTTTTTTTTTTTTTTTTTCCACTGGCATTAATAAACAGATTATTCCTGCATGTGTTATTTTACACTTGCTGTATTTTACTTGAGATCAAGTGACAAGTACTACACTTAATTTTTTTTTTTTTTATAATGTTGTCGTTTAGAGGGTTATTTTTCAGATTTCGAATTCCTATTTGGTACAAGTTTTCTTCGTAACCATTTTAAAACCCTCAAATAATGCTGGATACAACATACTCACTTTCAGATTCATTCCACTTTTTTCCAGTTGTCATCATTTGCATGGACTTTTGAAACAATTTTTTAACATTCTCTAATTTCATTAAAATGTTTCAAATCTAAACGAATAAGAAAAATGACTAAAAACAAAACGTGTCCGCATCAGGAAAAATGTTGATCGTGGATGGTTCATTAAAGAATTATAAAAACAAATTACCATTTTTAAACTACCTACAGCACTAATCTTCAAGAAGGATGTATAAAGAATATTTCTGTCCCTTTGATGAAATTAAATCCGCAAAACTTCTATTAATAAAGTTTTCTTCAACGTTCCAGAAATGGTAATAAAATTGTCTGTTATAACTTTTTAGTTTAACTAAAGTTACTGTTGAACTAAAAGTTTTTCGTAATGTGTTATTTTACATTTATTTACTATTGAGTACTAACTGGCCTTTTAAACAGTTCTATGGTAAAAAAAATGAATTTAATTTGACCTTTACTTTGAGATACAGTAAACTTTAAAGAAGGGTATTTTTTTGTTTTTGCTTCATAATGAATCGTTAAAGACTAAAAAAAGTCATATTTCTAAAAAAATTCCAATACCTTTTTAAAGGTCAGATTGCTCTTTGAAAAACTTTTCTCATTGTTGAGAAAAAAATGAAAGTAAAGGTTACACGTTATTTTATGTAAAAATAATTTCTAATTTTGCAAATCTAACATTATTATTCAGAGAAATTTCTTTACAGTGCTATTTTGTTTCAGAACGTAGATGACTCACTAAAAATTCTTTTTCTTCGTTTGTGATTTTGGGAAAGAGTGGAGACCACCGTACCTTCTTTACGGTTTTTAAAAGTTGTCCTTTTCATAGATTAGCTGCCACTCAATGTTAGAGAACCCTGTCTACCCTGCTATTTAAATTTAATGATTTTAAAGAGGTGGGTTCATGCTTTCCTAAAAAAAACATTTTTTTGTGTGAAAGTGAGCCGAACAAGTCAGGCCAGAATTTTTTAAACGCCGCTCTTTGTTTATTGCTGATTTTTGTTACTCAGCAAAGTTTATTGCTGTTTTATTCCAAAATTTTGATTTTACAATAACATAAATTCTATTTCTAATCAGACATATTCATTCAATACGGTGCAAATTTTGATTAAATGTAATAGTGGAATGATAAAGTGGTGGAAGATTAAAATTTAGAAATGTGAAGAGAATCTCTGCACTTCTGACTTTCAATTCTGAATATGGAAAAAAAAAAGTACTTTAAAATATTATGAGTAGGGAATTAATGATTCCTTAAAAAAAATTGTGACCCCTAGTTTTATGAAGCTAGTTAGTTTTTTTTCACGTCTTTATACTTTGTGTCCTGAATTACTTTCAATTTCAAGAAATAATTAAGAAAAACAACAAAAAAAAAAAACAAGTGTTACAATAAATAAGGCCATTGAGAAAAGTACAACAATGCAGTCTGATTCTGTCATCTGTAAATTTTTTAGAACCCATTGAAAATATTCTGTGGGGGAATTCCAAATTCTTAAATCAATACTTTTGCAGAAGTTTGACTTTTTTAAGAGTATTTTTCCAATTATTTAGTATTTGCTGTAAAACCAAATATTATTTATGGTTCAAACCTGATATCTGACCAATCCAAGCTATGAGTCTGACTGACCAGTTCTCAAGCCATTCTTGATGGTCTTTTTAATATGGGCAGGAGAATTGCCTTATTAAAAAATAACATCTGACTGTTACTCTCTATTGTGGGAAGCAATGCTTTCTGCAATATTCTAGTGTTACTGCATTGACTTTTTGGAATTTGGATTTTAGTTCATATTTTTCCTTGGATGTGTGTGTATATTTTGGCATGTCTATTTTTCTTTTTTACCTTTCATGATTAATGTTTCTTACAGACCTCTGAACAATATTGAAAAAAGGGCTGGCTCGTATGATGTAGTGAAACCAATTCCAGAGAAACGGGAAGTCCATGTTCGAGAGAAGCTGGGAATTGTAACCCAAATGAAAACCTTTGGCTTTGACCATGTTTTTGCTCCAACAGCCAAACAAATTGATATTTACAAATCTGTTGTCGTTCCTGTGGTGGATGAAGTGTTGTTGGGCTACAATTGCACCATTTTTGCGTGAGTATATTCTTCACTCTTTATATAAATTAACTAGCAGTAGAGCCCGGCGTTGCCCGGGGATGTAATAGTAAGAGATAGATCAAGTATCGACCATCATAAAGACTGAAAAATAAAATTGACAAAGATTATTGTTTAAGGTTGAAGGACACACATGTCTTAATTAGTTTTTTTTTTTTTTTTTTTTTACGAATTGGTCAAACCCAAATTCAAACAAAAAACATTGTTTACAATTGTTATGAGTCTATCGATTGGTGAATAGAATTTTATTATAAACAATTGTCTTGTAAATGGAATTTTTAAAGCATTCTGAATGTAAATAAAGAAAAAAAAATGTGCAAGACAATAAAAATACTACCTGCCAAAAAAAAAAAATGGATGTTTGTTTTATCGGCTGAAAAATGTAAGAAATCCGATCCCATATATAAAGGAACACACACACACAAACAACCTGGGTTTTTTAACCTAAGTCACTCCACGGAATCGCTAAAACATAGAGCATAGTCTGATGAAAAAAACGCTAAAGTTTATGAAAACAAAATTTTATCGTCAAAATGCTTATGTTTTTATGAAGAGGATAGACTAAATTTTCCATCTTTTTAGAATATTCTAAATTTTGATTTTAAATAACCTTGTTTCTCTTTGTCGCAACAAGGGGTAGTAAATAACATAGATAATTTTTAGCGTTTTTTTTGTATTTACACACATTAATTTGGAAAATCTTGCAAAAATAAAAATAATTGTCAGATGTTAATGAAACTCTCAGAAACTATTCACAGATGATCAAAATTATTATAAATATGTTGTTTTTTTTTTTATTAAAGTCATGGCAGAAATATTTTTTTATATTTATTAACACCCCCATAACTAATTTTATGAAAAACTCTAGAAATTCGAGACCATCAGTTTTAGTGATTACAATAGTTAAAAGCACAAGGCTTTGCAGAATGCAAATCATGTTTTTTTTTTTTTTTTTTTTTTTGCCAACGTACCTGAAAATCAGCTGTGAATTGTAACATACAAAACTCAGTAAAACAAATATATTATTTAGTTTCAAATGCTTTTATTTGTTTTAATTTGTTTTTATGAATATGGACAATATTTTCTGAAAGCAAAAAAAATTTTTTCAATGAAAATTGAATTTTTAATACCATTATTTCTTATTTCTTTAATTTTAAAAGATTTTTAAAAATGTTTAAATTGAATTTTTAAAAATATTTTAACATTAGTTAAATGCAACATCAACCTTTCAAAATGTCCGTGTGAGATTGTCATTGTCTAGCGCTTTGAAAATTGTATAATTTGGACCAATCAGATTAGCCATGGTAATTAAGAAATGTAATTTTTGTGTTTATAGTCAGACAGTAATTATCAAGTATGGAAGACCAACCAGAATACAATTTAGTTGCGTTATTTGACTGCAGCATTGTTCTCTGCTGTTAAGCCCTTTACTTTTGCGAAACACGTATGGAGAAGTTAATTTGAGTTTTCAATTTCAACTGAGAAGGGTACCTACAAGTAACAGTATCATCTTATGAAATTTAACTACTGCTAAACTTTAATTTATATGATCTTATTTTTATATTAATCTCGGTTATGACATTTTTCCATAAATGAAATATCAAAATTAATAATAAAATGAATGGAAATACAAATAACACAGTAAAATGTAATAAGTGTACATAACATTATAGTATGTTATGTACACTTCTGATAAAATTTCATAAGAAAGGTACCTAAATTAATTAGATACCTTTTTCTTATGAAATTTAATCTCACTATTAACAGTCTTATTTTTTAATTTCTTTCTATTTTCCATAAAGCATCGTAAATGTAAAAATGAAAGCTAAGTACAAAAAAAAAAATTAAAAAAAAAAAAAAAAAATTAGAGCGCTGAAAGTTTTCCTTAAAAGTAACGAGGTAAATAATTTGTTCACTTAAATAATTTCACTTCCTTCCATCCGTGAAAGAATTACCCTCCGTAAGTTATCTAAACGTCATGAATGTGCCTTTAGTCAATCGTCAAGTGATGCGAAAGGTTATGACCTGCTTTGTTTTATTTTCAAATTACATTTTTTTGCAGCAGCTAAGTTAAGCTTGGTTCAAAATATTTTAAATAAACAGTATAATATCTGTTTTTATTAAAATCAGTTTTGAAAAAATGATAATTGATTTTTAAAAGAATATCAAAGTAAGATTTTAATCTTTTTTATCAAATCGAAAAAATGATTGAAAATGATTGTCCTTTTTTTTTTTTTTTTTTTTGACCCCAAAAAAAAACAATTTTTAATGAAAATTTCAGACGTGCTAGGAACAATTAAAAAATGTAAAAAAAATACCCCCAAAATACTTTGATCTTTCCTCTTTAATAATATGAACATTAGACAATAAAATTTTGTTTTCGTCAAGTTTGGCGTCTTTTTCATCATGCTATGCTCTTTTGTTTACATTTTCGTGGGTGAGTTGTCCCCCTTTCATTCTCACGATGTGTCTTCTTAATCGTGTTTTCAAATTGATTTTCTTAAAAAACAACTGTGTTTTTCCCATTTTCGGCGCCGTTAGAACCACCAAAAGGTAATTTTATGTAGTCCTGTGAAGTTTTGTTGAAATCGGCTAAAAAATGTAGGAAATTCGATCCAACATATAAACGTTACAGACACACACACACACACACACACACACACACACACACACAACCTGCATTTTATAATAAGTAAGATTCAAAAGGAAACCATCATTTACATTTATTAAGCAGTCCCCCTCCTTTTTTTGTTTTTGTGTGTGTTTGCATTTGGCAGCTGTGATTGCTGTTACAAGATACAAATTATGATTTGTATCTTATATGTAATATTAGTATGATTTATCAACCCCTTCCAGACATTACCTTTTATTCTTAATTCATATAGTTCAACACTAGATTGGATTATTGGATTTAGTGTGTCCATGTATGAACTTTATAATATCTGTATTTTTTTGTTCATTTTAAACAAATAATCAGCTTTTTTCTTCCTTCTCAGATATGGTCAAACAGGAACAGGCAAAACTTTCACAATGGAAGGAGAGCGAAGTCCAGATCAACATATTTCTTGGGAGGAAGATCCCCTAGCTGGTATCATTCCAAGGACTATGCATCACATCTTTGAACAATTAAAGAAACAAGTAAGCCAATTGAACTCCACATTACCAAATGATACATTTAATTTAAGATTGTTTGATATTTATTTAGCTTAACCAATTCAAAGCACATATTGTTATTCATTATTGCATTAATAAACAAAATTTATTTTCTACACACATTTTTGAAAAAAAACTAAAAGCTTTCCTGTTTTAAATTGTTCTTCTTTATCAGGATGTAGAATTTTCTGTGCGTGTCTCTTTTATTGAATTGTACAATGAGGAACTGTTTGACCTTTTGGGATCATCTACTAGTTTGAGAATCTTTGAGGATCCCAAGAAAGTGAGTATTTGTCTTTTGTGAATGTTTTATATGAAATATTTACATCTCTTATTTTCAATAAAATAGCATGAAAATTTTAACTTTATTATATTTATTTCCTCCCTCCACTTTGAACACTGGAGCAAGAAATGAGGTTCCTTATGAAAATGTTTAGTAAGTTGAAAGCTGTCATCAAGATAGAGAATTTGTTCAGTTATGGGGGGGGGGGAAGGGACTTGTTAACATGCTGTTTTAGGTTTTTGCAATTTACAATATGAGACAAGATGAAACATATAATAGTTTACTATTGATTTATAATATTAAAATTGGTTAATACTTTAATGTTGATGGTTTGATTCTGATTTCATATTTCTTTCCTTTTTCAGCCAGGATCAATAATTATCCATGGAATGGAAGAAATCACTGTGAATAATAAAGATGAGATTTACCAAATTCTTGAAAGAGGAGCTGCTCGAAGACAAACTGCTGCTACTTTGATGAATGCCACTTCCAGGTGAAAATTTAACTTTTAGCATCTCAAATGGTTTTAAAATTGATTCATTCTCATAACTTCAGTTTTATGTAGATAATTATCTTTGTTTTTGTTTTAAAAGACACATGTCTGTAAAGTAAAACCATTCTTTATGTACAAATCCATGTTATGCATAGAATTCATTAAATAAAAAACTTAATTCATGAAAATGATTACATATATATTATGGCAAAACAAAGTATGTGGAAGTATGTGGAAAGTGAGTAAATTTCTATAGTTAATTTAGTGTATGAATAAAATATGGAGTTGTTTACTTAAATTTAGGCCAAGTATTAAAGGATGTGTGTTGTGGCATAATGGATATTGGCTCCAAATGGATTTTATAGCCTTCGTTGACAGCCAGTCTACCACAGAAATGGCAAACTACTGTGGGAAATTCTGCCTAGTCAGAATTGGATCAAGAGACATGATCACCCAAAAGTATCATATGTGACACTAAACTGATTAACTATGGAGGCATGCCTACAGGGTAGAAAAGTTATATTTTAACCTTCTCTACAGAAGAATTTAAATGTTGGTCTAGATTCAGCACTCGTGTATTAATTTAAAAAAATTGTTATTTAATCAAGCATTCTGTAAGATCATTTGACAGGTTATGAATTGCTACAGGTTTTTACAGTTCTTGATCTAAAAATGTGGGAAGGTTCTTAAAATTTTGAGTTTAGGAAAAAAAAAAAAGATTATTTCTGAAGCAAATGTTATATTTCTTGTATTTGCTTTTCTAGAATTATCTTGTAAGATAAAATGGCACTGTCTTCTATTCATAAAAGTGTTATTTATGATTGTCTGAATTGCTACAACTGAGATTTAATTTGAAAGTTTCTTCAGTAGATTTGCTGTTTCAGTGTTTTGTAAAATGCAGTTGACTCTTTATTCTTATGCAATTTTTGTTTTCTTGCAGTCGTTCCCACTCAGTGTTCAGTGTTACTATTCACACTAAAGACACTACCATCACTGGAGAGGAATTATTAAAGACTGGCAAATTATATTTGGTAAATATTTTAAATTCCTCTATTCATTAAATTTAACTTAATTCTGTGTCAAATTTTCTAGTTTCTGATTCCCTGTTAAATGGAATAGCATGGTTTTCACAGGTTTATAACAGTCTGTGCTTGCTAATTATTAACTTCTTGAAAGCCATTTAACTGAGGATTGTAAATGGCTTATGTAGAATATGAGCCATTATTATCCTCTTTTGTTGCACTATTTTTTGGAATGTTAGGATGTTTCTGTTGGTGTGAATGTTAAGTCTAGAATGATGCTTGAAACGACATAACTTTTGTCAGCGTTAATGCACACAAAAGCAATATACAATTGTAAAATAAACTGCTATTCCCTGTATGGTGTAAAGTCAATAAGACCAAGATATATATATATATATGTATGTATGTTTATTACAATTAGATATTATTACAATTAGTAATGGTGGAGCAAATAAATGCTGAAAATGCAGGACTGTTCTTTACTGCTGACATCACACAAATTTGTGAAGTTGTTGTGAACAACACTTCAGAAATTCCAAACTGTGAACAGTTTACACCTGATGTGCATCCAAAGATTTTCCACATTTTGAGTATGGATGGTGTTATCAGGATCTAGAGAATGTTCCTGCTGCTAATGAACATTTATAAAATTAAAACATTTAAAGATATAAAATGACAGATTATTTTCTGCTGCTTATGTGAAGGATTAAAAATTCAAATGTTTGAATTTAAATTGCATGATTGTCTTCTATACTTTATTCTCTATACTGCCAGTGTTTCCCTATTTTTTTTTTTTTTTTTTTTTTTTTTAAACCAACAATTCTACCAACCTAAACTAACCATATTCAAAATCTATAAATGAAAATGATATTCAACTTTGAAATCTATTAGATATTTACGATAAATATTTGTTGGTGTATGAGTAACAATGGTTCATTGTGTTGAAAATGGAATTGGCGAGATGAGTTCAAATTCTACCCTAGGTAGTTGTATTCACCTTTTGTCTTTGGAAAGCATATGAATGTATCTTTAGTAAAAATTCCCTTTTATTTTCAGGTTGACTTGGCTGGTAGTGAGAACATTGGACGTTCTGGGGCTGTAGATAAACGTGCCAGAGAAGCAGGTGTGATTTTTTAACAAATCTTTGGTTTAGTAGATAGTTAAAGGTGTTTTTGACCATTTCAAGAAACTTAAAAAATTCTGGGATAATTCTTTGGAAGATTACATGCTGCTGGTAAGATAGTAGCAAAAAATATGTGACAACTTCCATATGAAAATTTTTTTTTTTTTTTTTTTAAACCTAGAATTTTTTCTCCTTTTTGTATTTAAATATTTTGGTTCATTCATTAGAATGGCAAAGAGGAACAATTAAAAATGTCAAAGCTATCTATTTGTAGTAAAGTACATGCATACTCAAAATGCAAGTGTAGGTTAGTCTGAAAGTAATGACTCCTATTTTATTATGTTGACAAATGACTACAGACATGGCAGAAGTTCTAACCCATAATTCTTTTTTCTTTACATACAGACAAGTTTAGCAAAATGGCTAGAAACGATGCAGAAAAAATTTCACCCATTGACATCTTTAGTGCTTGGTAAAGAAACAAGTGATGTAAGCACAGTTAGTGGCTAATGCTTTGCAGCAGTGACAAATGATGTACATGATAGCCTGCACAACTGTCATAAATGTTCATCACTGGTAAAAGTACATAGCCAATAATTGTCACTATGGAAAACATAGCCTTTTGTTTTATAGCTGGAAACTTACTTTGTTCCCTATTGTTATTGTGCTTCTTATATCTGTAAGTTCTGTGTAAATAGGCATTACTTTTGGTGCATCTCTAATTATAAAACTCGCACACACAGGTGCTAGTAAAAAATATGTTCTTGTTCTGAGTAGCTAGAAAAACAATTCTGATGTGTTTGGTCATTTGGTCAGGTTTTGGTAAGTGGATCATCCCAAGAATTTGTCAGTACTCACCTTTGTGTGTGTTATATACAGTATTTTTAAAAGTTTGATATATTTGTTTTGTCATTATTCAGGCAATATTAATCAAAGTTTGCTTACGTTGGGTAGAGTCATTACAGCCCTTGTTGAACATGCTCCCCATGTACCATACAGGTAAGTGACTAGCCCTTATTCCTTTTAAAGTGTAGCCCCACTTCCTGTCTATTTGTCCAATTTGTAAGTTTGTAAAAGATTACAAAATTTGTCTGTTAATATATTAACCATTTTGTTAACTGGAAAAATGTTTTCAATAAGAGTTAAATTTTTGAAGATTCATCTGAGACTGTTTTTCTATATTTTAATTCCTTGAGTCAAATTGCATATTTATGAATCCCAACAATAATTGTAAATTTAACTGTCCTTAATTGTCAGAATTCTTATGAATTGTGTTCAGTCACAATGTTATTTGTTAACTTTAATGTATATTAAAATATGTTATATGTACACACAATTCATATAAATATGTCTTTTTTTTTTTTTTTTTTTTAATTATTTCATTATACTTGTGATAATGTTGCTAGTATTTGTATAATAACTTTTACAACTGGGTCATTCTGATTAACTAACATGATCTATTCATGTTTATATATGCACACTAGCTTATCTCTGAGTATTAATCAACAAAAGGAAGTGTTTTATGGTCATAAGCAAAATGTTATGGCAAGTAGTAATTAGCAATATTATTAACATTTGACATTCAACATGTTTGGAAACATATGGATATTGTTTGCTGATAATTTGATACACTGGTTGCAAATGTCATAAAATGACATAAAATTGTAGAATTTGCTTTAAGAAAATTTGTAGAATTTGCTAAAGAAAATGGCTTTTCTTTCTGGACTATTTAAGTCACTTCAACATGAAAATAACACAAATTTTATGCATTTCATCATAATCTGAATAGTTTGTGGTCAATTAGATTAATTTTATTTTTCTCCTACTCCAATAATATACTAGTGAGAACATTCATTCACTTTTGAGAATATTTCAAAAGAATTCTTCATAAAATTTTGCTCCCAAAATGTTTTTATTAGCTAGTACATGTTTTGGCATTTGGAAACCAATACAAAAGCATACTGGTCAATCAAATGATGTATTTTATGAAAAATATGCATTTTATGTGTGGAAAAATAAATAAGTCTTATTTTCATTTTACAGTATATTAAAATATGTAACTATCATAATGATTTTTTGTTTTGTTTTAATCGAGTTCACCCCAAGCAAGTCGGAAAAGCCACTAAGCCACAAGAGTGTGGAACAATTAGAAAAACATTACTATGCAGTGAGAACAAAAGAGTAATCAGGAAGACTGCAGATACCGATTGGCATTGCATTTAAATTTTTGAAGATTAATATTGACTGGAAAGCAAGAAGCTGCAAGAGTTCAATAAGTGAGAAACTGTTAGCATAGAACTTATGGTTGCATCTAGCCAATTGAACTGTAAATTGATGAGACCTCGTCAGTCTAGTACTGTGCTTAAATTCATAAAGTCTTGGTACATTAGTGAATGGCTCATCTGAACAATTACCATAAAGGTATATTTGAGAAAAGGCACAGGGAGGCAACTTTATGGTTGTGGAAAAGTGAAGCTGAGATGCCAGATCAGGATCAATAATATTGCTAACTCCTTTTATTTATTTATTGATTTTTTTTGGTAGATATCAATTAGATATGTTTATTGCTCTTAGATATTTTCTTTTTATCAGGGTTTGTACAGACCCTGGAAAATTGACAGGGCCTTTTCTAGGGTTTGAAAAGTCCTAGAATTTTCAAAATTGGGCTGCCTACACATCCTTTTTCTCAGTTTATAAAAGTCAAAATGCCAAATCCCAGCAATCTTGCTTTTTTGACAAGCTAAAATTGTCCTTTCAGAAAAATGGTTTTAGTTGTCATTAGTATTTAGCAATTATTGCAAATAGTGGTTTGTTTCCATGATTAGAATGAGCTAATGACGTAGTTACTTCTGTATTTTCTTGTCAAGGTGACTGAAAAGGAAGGGAGAAAGAATATGAAAGCGTGTCTTCTAGCTGCTACCCTCAAGAAATATTGCTCTCAAGAATTTCAGCAAGCATGAAAAAACTATGGAAAGTTGTTTGCAGATTGCTGGTACTCTCTCATGGACAGCCCTCAGTGGAGAGGTTTCTCAGTCAATGAAGAAATTTCCATTGACAATCTGAAACTGCAGACTCTGGTTGTACAGCTCTTTATCACGGATCATTTGGCTACATTTGGAGGTGCTGGGAATATTACCATGACTAATGCTCTTCCCTGCAGTGCTTGCAATGCCTGAACAGCATACAATCAATACTTTGAGGCTGCAAAGACAATGCAGGAAGAAACAGTTGCACAAAAATTTAAATCTATGCCTATGAAAATTGAAACGAGCTTGAAGGTGCACATAAGATTTGCTCACAGCTATGCAGAAAAAGCTGAGCAGACTCAGAACTTCATCCTCATCTCACAGTCCAAGGCCATGCAAAGCACAAGTCTATAGATATCAAATTTGGAAGAGGAGTGGAATGCTAAATAAGATAAACTGAAAAAGTGTTAACATCATTGTATTCTGTGACATGTGTAATGAAAGCAATGAATTGCAGGGTTGTAGTCTTTTTGTGAAAATTTCTATTTGTAATTCTATTCATTAAAATCATTCTACTTCACAGGAAATGTGCAGCAGTCAATAATTTTTGTGACATTCATAAACCATGTGAAGCATGGATAGCACAAATGTGTATCAGTAAGAATTAGTGTGTAATTCAAAATTTTCAAGTGTAGAATGCAGCACAAAACATAACCAAGTCTGCATTCAGTTTGCTTTTTAGCCTTCAACACTTTCACTGCTTTCAATTATGTGACATGAATTACTGGAACCAGTTGTAGCTTTTCTTTGAACATCTCGTCTGTCAAACTATTAAAAGATAAATCATGAAGTTTGTTTTTGAAATTGATGACCTTTCACTTTGTGCATGTGTCAGTTTCTGTCCTTTGAAACTTCTTAATTTACACCTTGTAAAGTCCTGGAATTTTTTTTTTTTTTTTTTTTACACAAATCTGTGGGAACCCTGTTTTATTCAAGGTTAATAATCCTTTATTGAAATTTTTTTTTTTTTTTATTCTCTCTCTCATTTAAATTTCTTGAATTTGTTTTAGGGAAAGCAAGTTGACAAGGTTGCTGCAAGATTCTTTAGGTGGTAAAACAAAAACTTCTATAATTGCTACCATTTCGCCAGCAGCATGTAACCTTGAGGTGAGTTGCAATTATATTATTCAAGTACAAATATTCTGGAAAATTAAACAGAATATTTTTATTTTCTTTGAGTCAGTTTTGTTTGTTTTGATCTGATGTTTTCTTATTTTTAAACAGGTTTTCTGTCCTTTGCATTTATTTTAATATACTCAAATCTAATAATTAATTTTGCCATGTTGGGGAAATCAATTTCATTTCAAATTATTTGAGCTTGTGAAAACATAATTCTTCTGTAAAACAAAAAAAATAGCAAATCACAAAGTTTTTTTTTTTTTTTTTTTTTTAGGAAACTTTGAGCACTTTGGATTATGCCCATAGAGCCAAAAAACATTCAGAATCGCCCTGAAATTAATCAAAACTTTGAAAGCACTTTTGAAGGTGGGTTGATTCTCTTTGAATTTGTCAGAATTTTACTATGTAGATTTGTGGTAAGGCATCTCTGGTCTATTTGATTGGGTGTTGACTGATGTTACCTTTTTCTAATTTTTTCTGTAGGAGTACACCAATGAAATTGAAGCTCTGAAGAAAGATCTTGCTGCTGCCCGTGATAAAAATGGTGTCTACTTGGCAGAAGATAATTACAAGTGAGTCTTGGCCATTACCATTACTCAAGAATTATTTTTATATCCTTTGACTTAAACAAAATATTGACATTTTGATTGTCAGATTAATTGTACTTAAATTTAATTCCTTACAGCATGATGACTGAAAAGTTACAAGAGCAAGAGGCAGCCATTAAGGAAATGGAAGACCAAATAACTGCTCTGGTTGAAGAAAAGGAAAAGGTAGCTATTTGAAATTTGCTTAATCTCTTTACTGTAACAAGCATATGGTAGCAAGGAAAAAGACAAACACTGGAGTAAGGTTGAATATATATTTTGAGAAAAAAAAAGTTAATATACACAAAGGTACCAAGGAGACAATACAGAAGTGGAAGTCCATTTGAAAAAGTGTTTCGTGGTTTGTGGTCCAACTTTCTTTGGACAAAAGTTGGACCACAAACTTGGATGGTAGAATGGTACTCAAGTTTCGATTTCATGTGAGTGTTGCAGATGGAAAGTCTGGAAGTAGTAGTGGCAGTAGATCAGCCTGGCTGCCAAATGGGCTGGTGAAAAAGTTGATGTGATGAGAATGCTTTTTTTTTTTTTTTTTTTTTTTTTTTTTTTTGTGTCATTTCAGTGGATTGAAAAGGCATCCATGTCCTTGGTTTGTGATGCCTTCCAATCGCTGGAAAAAAGCTTAATTGCTTGTCACGTGGCTGCTTTCCACTATGTCTGCCAGTCAGTGACCTCAAGATGACTTGCAGGCTGTTTTAGTTTCTGACTGAAGAAGGGTTCATGAATTGCAACGGGATTTGGCTTAGAGTATAACATTTTTATCATAACAAATTAATGAAAAAAAAGAGTCAGTTATTTACATGAATGAAATGCAAGTTTTTAAAACTTGCATGCACAAATCTTCAGTGGTGGATTTTTTTTTTTTTCTATTTCTGAAAGTAAAAATTGAAATATTTGAAGTGAATCATTCAACATAGTTTAATTATTCTAGAACAAAAATATATTTAAACATTTGATGCTCACAAAATATTTTCAAGTGCAGAAGAACCTTGGTTGTCAAACATCTCGCATGTCTAACAAATTGGTTTTGAGACAAAAAATTAGAGATGAAAATGCCTCAGTTCTCAAACATAGATGAACTGAGTTAACACAAGTGTAATAAATTCTGACTCACTGTTGTATATATTTGTGTGTTGTGCCCTGCATTTCTTTTCCAATTTTATTGTACTGTGACTTTTTCTTACATTAATTCCTATTGGAAAAATAGTTTCGATTTATGAACATTTTGGATTACGAATGGTTTTCAGGAACAAATTAAATTTGTGAACTGAGGTTCCACTGTGGTAGGTTTAGTTTTTGAATGTAAATTTCACTTTTAAAAAATTAATACATTTTTCTTTGCAAAGCTGTTTCAATATTGTATTTTGTATTTAGATACAGGAGCTGTTTGAAAAAACTGACAAGCAGTTGGAACAGACAAGTGAGACTCTAACACAAACAAAAAGTCAACTTGTGGAAACTAAAGAGAACTTAAAAGAAAAGGCAATTGAATGTGATGAGCAGAAGTTTTTGGTGAATGAACATGTAAAGACTGAAAAAGTGTTGTTTACACAGGCAGAACAGGTTAGTTCCATTTTTCATTCAATGGAAGCAAATGTTTCTTTTGGAAATTATTTCTATGACTTTTTATACAAAGGCAATTGATTTCTCTTTGGTTCTAACTATACTAAATTTTGTAGGATGCATTTAGTTCTCCACATTTTTTTATTCTTTACCATGTCATTATTTTTCAAAATTCTAGACAATTTTCTTTTTTTTTCTTTCTTTCTAGACGCTGTGTTTTTTTGTTTTTTCTTTCTTTCTTTCTAGACGCTGTGTTTTTTTTGTTTTTTCTTTCTTATATTGAAGTTTTAATTCTCTTTGCTTCTTCAGCTGCTGTCTGCTGCTAATGAGTCCACCTTGGATGTGGATGGTTTACATGCCAAGCTTGGGCGGAAACAGATTGTAGAGATAAAGAATGATTCTTTATCAAAACAATTTAAAGAAAAATTTCAGAAGTCTGTGCTTGGAATGCACCAATTGACTGATGTCATGTTAGGTACAATGTCTAAATTCCACACTGACAACTCTGCTCAACTCAGTAAGTAATTCTACTAGAACAATTTGATTGGTCAATTTCATTTTTCTTTATTTGCTTTTCATTATTTTTGCTTCCTATTTTATTTTAAAAAATTATATATATTTTTTTTTTTTTCTAAGGCTTTTTTTTTTTCCTCCCCACTACTTAAGGCTTTTTTTTCCTCCCCACTACTTAAGGCTTTTTTTTCCTCCCCACTAAAAAAAGGCTTTTTTTTTTCCTTAAACATTTTTTTCCTCCCACTTCTTTTTTTTTCCTCCCCACTATTTCCCAAAATCCCCATAGTTAAGCTAGGTACCTCCACGAAATCGCTAAAAAAAGAGCATAGCTTGATGAAAAAGACGCCAACCTTGCCGAAAACAAAATTTTATTGTCTAAATGCTTATGTTATTATTTAGAGGAAAGACCAAAGTTTTTTTTAATTATTTTTAAAAAATTTTTCTTTTTTTTAGAAAATTCTAAATTTTGATTAAAAAAAAAAAACCTTGTTTCTATTTGTATCAGCGGAACTAGTAAATAACATAGACAATTTTTAGCACGTTTTTTTGGTATGACACACATTAATTTGAAAAATCGTGCAAAAATAGAAATAATTATCGGATGTTAATGAAACTTTCAGGAACTATTCACAGATGATCGAAATTATTATAAATATGTTTTTTTTTATGAAAGTCATGGTAGAAATATTTTTTTTAAATATTTATTACCCCCCATAACTAATTTTATGAAAAACGCTAGAAATTCGATCGCATCGGTTTTAGTGATTACAATAATTAAAAGCACAGGGCTTTGAGGAATGCAAATCATGTTTTTTTTGTTTTTAATTGGATACCCAATACCTGAAAATCAGCTCTGAATTGTAACATACAAAACTCAATAAAACAAAGATATTTTTAATTTCAAATGCTTTTATTTGCTTTTAGTTGTTTTTATGAATATGGACAATATTTTCTGAAAGCAAAAAAATTTTTTCGATGAAAAATGAATTTTTAATACAATTATTTGTTATTTCATTAATTATAATAGATTTTACATTTAAGTTGTTAAAATATTATAAAATTAGATAAAAGCCGCATCGGCTTTCATAAGTGTCCTTATGAGATAGATCTTTTTTTTTAAGCGTTGTAAATTGTATCATTTTGACTAATCAGAAGAACCCCAGTAATTAAGAAATGTAATTTTGTGCTTATAATCGAGCTGTAATTATAAAATACGGAAGACCAACCAGAATATAATTAAGTTGGCGTTATTTGAGTTAAGCATTGTTCTCCGCTGTTAAGGCCTTTACTTTTATGAAACACGTGTGGAGAAGTTAATTTGATTTTTCAATTTCAACTGAGAAGGGTACCTACAAGTATCAGTATCATCTTATGAAATTTATATGATCTTATTTTTTATATTAATCTCAGTTACGACATTTTTCCATAAATGAAATATCAAAATTAATAATAAAATGAATGCAAATACAAATAACAATAGAATGTAATAAATGTACATAAAATTATAGTATTTTATGTACAATTCTGATAAAATTTCATAAGAAAGGTACCTATAAATTAATTAGATACCTTTCTTAAGAAATATGAAATTTAATGTCACTCTTAACAGTTTTATTTTAATTTCTTTATAATATATTTCCCATAAAGCATCATAAACGTAAAGGTGAAAGCTAAGTACAAAAAAAAAAAAAAAAAAAAATTAGACCGCTGAAAGTTTTTGTTAAAAATAACGGAGTAAATAATTTGTTCACGTAAATGTAAATTATTTCACTTTTCTCCTTCCGTAGAACAAATTAGCCTCATGGAATTCGTAAATATGTCATTCATCACATGTCAAGTGACGCGAAAGTTTATGACCTGCTTTGTTTTATTTTCAAATTACATCTTTTTGGCACAAAAGCTAAGTTAAGTTTGGTTCAAAATATTTTAAATAAACATTATAATTTCTGATTTTCTTAAAATAAGTTTTGAAAAAATGATAATTGATATTTAAAAAAATTTCAAAGTCAGATTTCCAGTTTTTTTTAAAATGGAAAAAAATGGTCAATTTTGCTGACTCAAAAAAAACTAGATTTTTAACGAAAATTTCGGACGTGCTAGGAACGATTAAAAAATGGAAAAAAAATACCCCAAAAATACTTTGACCTTTCCTCTTAATAATAACAAACATTTAGACGATAAAATTTTGTTTTCGTCAAGTTTGGCGTCTTTTTCATCATGCTATGCTCTTTTTTTAGCGATCTCGTGGAGTTACCTAACTTAAGCCTTTTTCGTTCATTTTTGTTAAATACTGTCAATTTATAACTGAGAAACTGTAAAATGCCAGGTTCTTAAAAATGTGTTTTGTTTACAAAATTATTAGACATTATTAATTTTTTTATTGCCTCTAAATTTTGCCAATTATATTATGAATTAATAATAGTATCAAATTTTATTTTTTTTGATGGAACTTCCCATTTGCCCTTTCAATTACTTAATTGTTTTCTCTTATCTTTTGCACTGCCTCAGCTGTTACCCTCTCCAGCCAGACCTTTTGCTTGTTTGCTGAGGGTGATGAAGGGTTATATGAAGAGGAGTAGGGAGTGGTTAAGATACAATAATGTTCTGAAGTCTAAATTCCTTCAGATGATCTTATCCTCCAATATTATACCTC